GAGAGAGAGAGAGAGAGAGAGAGAGAGAGAGAGAGAGAGAGAGAGAGAGAGAGAGAGAGAGAGAGAGAGAGAGAGAGAGAGAGAGGCACAGAAAATAGGAACCAGTAGACATGGGCTGCAGACACACCCCAAATCATGGTTCTCCTTGCTGCTAGGACCAGGCCCGACTGCGGTGACTGGTGCTGTACTCTCGCTTAGAAAACATGAACCTGGTCGTAAAAGTGACCACGTACATGCTGGCTTAGCATGAACCTAGCAGAAGTGAGGCTTACGGGACAACCTGGTACCGGACCAGGGTCAGGCCGACGGCCTGAAACTGGTCCGGCCTCACTGCCGGGCCGTAGGGGTACTGCTACACGCTACCTGATGTAATGAGGAGGATGTCCGTGGGCAAACTCAGACAGTTGGTGATGTATGCAACATTCACATGGACGGTGTTCTTCCACAATCTTGGGGGCCAGGCCTCACCTCTGGGATCGGTTCTTGAGATAATCGATTTTTAATAACTTTTTTTTCATGTAGGCCCTCATACTTGTAGGGGGTCTGTTTTTCTCCTTCGTTCCGCGGGTCCAGGCTCCGACTGATTCTCTGCAGGCTGGGTTGTCAAACGCGTGGTACCAGTCGGCGAGTGTGTGTGTCCGATGGGTTTCAAACTCTGTACCTATAGGCGTAGTCAATTGATTTTTCCTTTTGTTTTTTAATTTTGAGTACTTGTGGGAACAAGTTCGAATAACTCTTTGGAGGTTCGATCTGTGGACTTGATGGACTATAGCCTTTTTTAGATATTAATAGTTTTTTGGGTCGATTGTTGGCTCAGGGATTCTGGTACTGAGCTTTTGAACTCTCGTCGTTTGGGTGATAAGATGAACACGACGATTGGAGGAGACTACGACGGACTACTGAGTCGACTACGTGTCTGCTCTACTGATCCTTGTAACTATATAGGCCTATACAGCTATACAGACAATAGGCCTATACAGACAGTGTGTTCTTTCACACCGACTTTTAGGCCCCTGACGACCCCGGTTGGCGCGCCAGGTGAAACTGGTAGGACTGTAACGAGTCAATGCGGCGACTTCTGTTTTCGCTTGATCTTCATGCTTTATCCTTTGAAAGGAGTCGCGTTCGGGACACCTGTCTTCCTTTCATTCTTCGTCTTCTCCTCCCTCCTCTTCTTCTTCTTCTTCTTCAGAATCTTCTTCTTCTTCTTTTCCTTCTTCTTCTTCTTCTTCTTCTTCTTCTTCTTCTTCTTCTTCGTCTACTTCAGAATCTTCTTCTCCTTCTTCTTCTTCTTCTTCTTCTTCTTCTTCGTCTACTTCAGAATCTTCTTCTTCTTCTTCTTCTTATTCGTCTTCTTCTTCTTCAGAATTTTCTTCTCCTTCTTCTTCTTCTTCAGAATCTTCTTCTTCTTCTCCTCCTTCTTCTTCTTCTTCTTTTTCTTCTTCTTCTTCTTCTTCTTCTTCTTTTTCTTCTTCTTCTTCTTCTTCTTCCTTGTTTGTATGGTGTGACCTTCTTGTCTCATGGTAGCTGGAGCGATGTGCATGTCGGAGGAAGTTGTGATTTTCATCGTCGTCTGCAAGCTTTAAGCTCCACCCTTCCATAGCACAGTTACGGAACCACCAATTGATCCTAGCAAATCAATAAAAATCAATCAATCAATCAATCAATCAATCGATAAGCGAATTACAGGCGCGACTCCATAGAACATAACTCCGAATGAAGCAAGTTTGATGAAGACGACACCTCAACCTCGATCTCAAGCCACGACAAGGTCGACGTTGAGGCTCAAATCCATGAGAAAGATTACACACAATGGAATTAAACAGTGGAAGAAGATGCCTTGCAAAACATCTTCTCCTCCACCCTTCCATAACAAAGTTACGGAACCACCAATTGATCCTAGCAGATCAATGAATATCAATCAATCAATCAATCAATCGACAAACAATTCATCAATCAATAAGCGAATTACACTCGCGACTGCATAGAACATGACTCCGAATGACGCAAGTCTGATGAAGACGGCACCTCAACCTCGTTCCCAAGGCACGGTAAGGTCGACGCTGAGGCTCAAGTCCATGAAAAACATTACACACAATGGAACCAAACAATAGAAGAAGATGCCTTGCACAACATCTTCTCCTCCACCCTTCCATAACAAAGTTAC